TTGTCCCAAAACATCCTGGGGACACCCTGAGATAAAAGGGAAAGAGCCTCCAGTGGGGTTCAGTGCAGGAGGGTGCAGGAGGCAGCAAGGGCAGGCTGCTGAGTGGAGGACAGGCTGCTCACCTGGCAGGAGGGCTGGGGGACCCCAGGTGCCTTCAAGCACAGCTTTGGCCCGGGGGGTCCCCGAAGGCAGGAGGAGGGCAGACAGCAGCCCCCCACGGCGGGGGAGGCAGGAGGAGCCCCGTGTGCCCAAGTGCTGCAGAGCTGCCCTAATTCCTGTCATTCCCGGGATGCACTTGTCTCTGGGACTGGATAAGGCTCCCTTTGATCCAAGGAGACTCGTGCTAAAGTCAGCTTTTGTCCATAAAGAACGGCTGGTGCAGAAGGGAGGGGGCCACACCCGACGGGAGAGACAGGCAGGAACTGGCTGGAGAGAAGTGCCATTGTGGGCAACAGGATCTGAAGGGACAGAGCCAGAAGGCCCATGACACTCCCCAGATTGCCTCCAAGGTCAAGGAAAAAAGAAAGAAAAGGGAAAGAAATAAACAGCAGAGCAACTTCATCCTGAAGTCTAAGCTGGGGTGTGGCTGCACCTGCAGGAGCAGGGCCCCCTGTTCACTGGCATCTCCTCAGCCAAGATGAGCTGGTGTCTGCAGCACAGGAAAGCACCACATGTGCTTTCCACATCTTTTAAACCTCTCCAGGGATGGTGACTCCGCCACTTCCCTGGGCAGCCTGTTCTAGGGCTTGACAACCCTTTTGGTGAAGAGATTTTTCCTAACATGCAGTGTAAATCTGCCCTGGCACAGCTCGAGGCTGTTTCCTCTCATCCTGCTGCTGGTTACCTGAGAGAAGAGACCCACCCCCTCTGGCTGCACCCTCCTGTCAGGGAGCTGCAGAGAGCAATGAGGTCCCCCCTGAGCCTCCTTTTCTCCAGGCTGAGCCCCCCCAATTCCCTCAGCCTCTCCTCATGTGACTTGTTCTTTAGGACCTTCCCCAGCTCCGTGGCTCTTCTTCAGATAAAAATCTAGTTATCTTTATCTTTTTTTTTTTATTTTTACCCAACAAGTCCATGAAATGAGTCAACCAGGATGTTGGTTAAAAAGTCTGAAAAAGTTAATTGCTGCAGTATTTGAACCAAGTGGCACCGAGATGCATCTCAGAGATGTGGTGCTTCGTGCAGTGCTCATGGAGCACTTTGGTAACCCAGCTATGGGTAATTATGAGTTTAGAAAAATAGAACAAGCACGTAGCAAAAGTAACATAACTTAAGAGAGACACCTGCTCCTCCTTCCTTGCAAATAAACTGGAGATGACAGAGGCAGAAGTTCCTCCAGACTTGCCAAGGATCTGAAGGCACTAGGAAGGAACAAAGGGACAGTGGAGGTCCCAGGAGCCACCTCGGGGTGCAGAGCTGTGGCTCTGGGGTTGCCCTGGTCCCTTCAGGACTGCCCAGGCACCGAGCTGAGCACCCTCAAAAGCGATTTCTGTCAGGACGATCTGTAAAGAGCAAATCACTATTGTGTGAAGTAAAAAAAAATTACATAAATTACCACTAATTTAGTATAATTTAGAGGACAACCTTGTCCAAGGAGACAATTAAATATTTCTCAGAACAAAAAGGGAGGTAAACAGCCTGAACAATAGATTCCTAAAGCCGGAGAGAGTGTGAAATCCCTCCTTTTATCAGTAGTATCACAGTGCTGCAATTAAAATAGTTGCCTGAAGGAAGGAAAGGGAAGATTTAACCCAGCCTGTCGGATGATCCCACTGCAGTGCTGGCAGGGCATGGTTCCACTGCAAATCCAGACCCTCAGAAAGGCACTGAGGGACACAAGTGGTGGTTATTTCTGTGGTGACCACAGCAACCTGGCCAAGGTGGCTACAGAGAACCCCAGGAGAAGCAGCCTCTGATGGCCATGGACACCTCAGCCCTTCCCAACAGGCATTCAGGGCCAGCTGTGGACCATGAGTATGAACCAGAGCACAGGCACTCAAGGAAAAGGGGTGTTCTGGGTGATTGAAGATGTGCAAGTTCCAGGCTGGGGAGAGGAGGTCAAGCCCCACTCACTGCCAGTCCCCAGAGCCCTCCCAGCTCAGCTGATCAGCAGAAAGATCCCTTAGAGGATCAGGGCTTCTCCCTGCCTCACCTTCCCCTGTCATCCTTGCAGGAAGCAAACCCTCTTTGCTAAAATTGATGGACACAATTCACTGCAATTAGTATTTCAGCAGCAGGTGGTTAACCCTCAGGGCAGAGCTGGTTGTCTCTATTTGGCTTGCTCTGCCTGGACGTGAATTTAGAGCAAGTTCTTCAGATTCCTGTTTGCTTGCTGACCCACCAGAGCAGGCAGCTCCTCCACCCAAAGAAAGTTCAATGCTCAGGGCAGCAACATGGTCCCTCAATCCCCCATGGATGCAGAACCCATCCCAAAAGAACCCCTGAGCCACAGCAACAGCCTGCTCCAGTAACAAGGCTGAAGTCCTCTTCCTGCTGGAGTGGACCAATACAGGTCATAAATGCAGACACTAGTGTAAAATGACCCCAGAACCCAGGCTGATATTTAGACAAAAAGTGATTTTTTTTTTGTCCATTTCGTTCCAATTAATCTGCATTTATTGTAATTGGCACCCATGGCAAGAGCATTTACAGGCAGCAGCTGGGAAGGTGTAATTATGTTACTGTCACAGGCACACACACAGCCTAAGGGGGTTCTGCTCACGGGCAAAAAGGGCAAAAAAAACAAAACCAAAGAAAAGAGACAGCCATGAAGACATGGAACTGGTTGCCCAGAGAGGCTGTGGACTCTTATCCCTGGAAGTGTCCAAAACCATGGGAACACTGTTCTTGTGGCGAAGCAAAACTACCCCCAGGGAACATCAGCTCACAGACACTGCTCCTGCCACCACCACACGCTCCTCCCTGCAGGGGTATGCTGAGGGGTTTTTCCAGTTATTTGCCTGGAAAATAAAACTTCAAGCTTTCCAACTCGTACTTTCTAAGACCTTCTGCACTGGGTGGATACCTGACAGCATGCAGACACTTTACAGCCTTTCAGTGGGCTGCTCTTCATCAGTGGAGTTCTCACTCTAAGTGCAAGGTAAAATGTGTTTACTTTAAACTTTAGGGAGGGCAATTTAAGCCAACACCTTGAGTTTGCAGTTGGGTTGGTCTAGGAGGGTGCACAGACCCCATGTGGCAGCTCATGCAGCTGCTGTTCCCCAAATCACATTCAATCGTGTTCACACCTCCCATATTCTAATAAAAGCTTGGTTTTCTCTTCCCCTCTCAGGAAATAAATGGCCAGTCTGTACCAGCTCAACCCTGTCCTAGAAAAATTTTGCCTGTGAATAATAGTTTATTTTCAGATTGTTTTGAGCAATATCACAACAGGCCTCAACAGCTGTCTTAAGTCCTCTCTGTCCTGGGTATATTATCAAAACATCTGACAGCCAGCCTGGCCAGGATACTTAAAACTCAAATGAAAAAAAAGCCCAGGTTAACCATCGGTAAAATAATGACCACACTGGACCAAAAATAAACCACCACTTATCCAAATAAAGAGAAGCAAGTGCCAGAACACAAATGTGGGGGGGTCACCTGCGTGAATTTCCTCAGCCCCAGCATTATAAGACAGAGGCAGCCCTGAGCTTGGGGCTGGCACAGGGCTGCACCAAATATTGGGGGGTCAAAGGTGATGCCCCCACTCCCAGCCTCACCCCCTCCCCGGCTCAGACACCCTCCTGTCACCATCACACAGGAGCCGACTCCTAAAGTGTAATTTGTTATTCTGTTACGGTCATTCTCTGTATTAATTTTATGCAGCATCAAAAGCCCTTTCATATGTTAAACTCTAATTCATATGCTAATACCCAATTTATGGCAAGTTAATTATTTTTTTGTCCAATTTATTTCTCGGTGTTCATTGAGGAAGGGAGAGGCAGCAGCGGGTGAATTTTGGCACTCGGCTGGGTTGATGGGCAGGACTGAGGCAGGTAACACCCTTCTGCTTCCTGGGTGTGATCCAGAGCAGGCACACTATTGAAACCCACGACTGTCTGACACAGCCATCCCAGTGCCATCTAGTTGTTTCCTTACTGGTGGCATCTCTGGCAGAGAGGTTGGAAAAGTCTGCTCCAAAGCTTTGCAGGGCACTGCTCAACCCACCAAAGCTGTTCCCCTCAGGGCTTGGGTTTGTCCAACTGCTCCAGAGCAGGTGCCAGAAAAGCAGGGATGGGGGATAACTGAGAGGATGGGATTTTCAAAGGATAAAGTGATGAGCAAGAGAATGATCCAGGCAGAAATCAAACAAAAATGGAACAGGCGCCCACCTCTGCTCACAGCAGCCACATTCTGTCATGCCATTCTGTAATTTTTGCCCCATGCTGCTTTGCACAATGACCATGGAATAGTGGCTGCAGTTTCCCACAAACAAGCTCTTTGCTGCCCAGGACAGGCAGGAGGGGATGGCGACAGCCAAGGATGCTCCAGTCCCTGACCTGAGTGCACAACCTGAATGCAGCACATTATTTTACCCTCCCTCCCATGCCAAGAGGAGTTTTTCATGTCAGGAAGAGCACCCCACACCTCCACCACGGGCATGTGATCAGGGCTACAATCAGCTGGACACGTGGGAGAGCACAGCAGTCCCTTGGAGGTGTGTTCCCATTCCCCAGCCCACTGGCACCGTGACCTTCCCAGGTGGCATCACCCCCCCGGCACCCTGGCCAGGGGCTCACCAGAGCCGAGGGGGAAAACACACAGAGGGGGCCCAGAGCAAGGATGGGGAGCATATGCTAAACATAAAAGAACACGAGAGCAGTTTAGCCTTCACCATTTTTTTTTTTAACAGCCTATTTTCTGCTTGAGGAAGCAGGTGCATTTCCCATCCTTGCAGCATCACCAGCCGACAGGCTGTCGGAGGTGTGATGGCTCCAGGACAGTTGCACTGCCTCGGATTTCACATTCCTGACACATGCGATAATTATGCCAAATGAGCTCACCTCATCTCCAGCCTTCTGAGCTGCACAGATTAAACGAAGGGAAAGCTGTTACTGTCGCAGATGAGAAAGGCAGGAGGGGAGAGGCACCAGCCCGCCGTGCTGCGGGGATGGGACGGGGCTCCTGGGTCCCCACCACGGCTGCCTTGGCAGATGATGCACCTAAAAGAGTGAGGATCAACCTTCTGCTTCCCCCAGCTCAAACCTGTATCTCCCACCTCACGTCTCCCAGCAGTGCCCGCGGGAGAGACGGTGCAAACGCTGCTCTCCCCCTCCCCCGGAGCCAGGCATCGCTTCTCCCCATCTCCCCACCTCTCTATTCAATTAACCCTTTTTCTCAAATCCTGCACTTAACACCCCTCCCCGTCCAGGGGATTTTGCACATATATATTCTTGATTCTTCATCTTACATTTTTAGCATTAAAAAAACCCCTACGATTTATCCCGACGATATGAAGGAGCTCCAGTAGGCAAAATGAAGCTGTAACTCCCTCAAGCTAAACTCCAAATTCATTTCATAATCCTTAGATAAAAGCTTAGAAGCCAGAATATTCATTACCATCCCGGGCTCCACGAGGAGATGGGGTAGTAATGGAATGAAGCAGACTTGACACAGAGGATGTTGCTACAGAAATTAGCCTGTCATAAGATTATGGGGACTAAGTGTTATTGGGTGATAAGGTGTGATGTGTTAATATTAAATTATCTTGCCAGTTTAAAAAAAATAAATAAAAAAAAAGAAGAAGAAGAAAAAAAAAGGCACTGATTAAACTCACATTTATTAAAAGCCCTGAATATGATATTAAAAGATCTCGGATAAACCAGTTTATTTCTGTGCTGGAGAGCAAATTGAAAGAATTTTCCAGGAGGGATTCCTTTGAATGGAGCATTACAACAATAAAACAACCAAAAAAAAGAGACTTTAATAAACGTTGGGACTAAAGAAGCCTTAAATATTCCAGACTAATCTCTCTGGGGAGGGTTCATTAACCCTTCATTCCCTCTCTTGTTGCATCAAAACAGGGATTAACTAGAGAATGTATCCATCTGAAATAAAGCTCTGTACATCCCAAATTCTCTGTCTACAGCAAGAGGGGATTAACTCCCCTGCTCCATGTGACACAAGGCTGGGACAGGATGCTAACAAAGCTTTCTGGAAAAAAAAAATAATAAACCACAAGCACAAAGCTTAAGTGATTTGTCCAAGTCACCAGGACCAGTGAGATAACAACAGGGCCATCGAGTATCTGGAGTTTGCTTAAAAATTTGATTTGTTGCCATCAGACAGCAACAAATAACACTGGGAAAGGAGGCACATTTGTTCAGAGCCACGTGGTCACATCCATCACATCCATCACATCTGTCACACGCCGGCCCTGCTCGTCCTCTCACCGGTTTAGATCAACACAGAGAAGCCCAGAGCGAATTCATGGCTGAGTTCTTGGGGCGTTGGGAACAGGAGGGATATATGAGGTAGCCATGGAGCAGCTGGGCTGTGCCAGCCAGCCTGGACACGCTCCAGGGAGCGCAGCCTTGACCCAGGTAACCCATAAACACCCCCTGCAGTGAGAGCTGGGGGGCTCTGCGGGGGGACCCCGGCCCTGCAGGTCATGCAGGGAGCTCCCCTGGGGGCTGGGGGACACCAGCTTTGCCTTGCTGTGGGGATTCAGCTGGAGTAACACCGAGGTCAGAAATTAGAAGAGATTCTCTAATCTCTTGGTGCAATAGAGCAAGAAATATAATTAGGTTTGAAAGGCTGCTAAGTTCATTGAAGTAAAACATGAGACAGTAGGTTCAAGTAGGAGAGATGGAAGCTCTACTGGCCCACAGTCCCCATGGGTGCTTCCCTGTCTCTCTTAGCAACAGCAAGTTGTCATCCCCCAGGGCAGTGAGGGACCTCAGTAAAGATGGTCTATAGTTCCAGAACCCCTGGATCCCTAAAGGGCCATCTAGGAAGAGGTCTATAAACTCCTGAAAAAAAGCACTTGTGGTGTTTTCTCAAATCCCGGCTGTTTTTTCTTTCCCCCTTAAAAAGGCCCAAAACTTTTTCCACTCGGTGCTGGAGGAGGAGGGGGATGATGCTCAGCAGGGTGAGGGTTTTCCCCGTGAGGGGTGCAGGGAGCAGCACCTTGCTTGGCAAGGGCAGAGGTGGGCAGGCAGACCACAGCTCCCTCCCTGCCCACCACGACCTGTTCCCACACAGAGGTGCCCAGAGGAAGTTGGTTTTCACATGTGGGTCCAAATTATTGCATCCAGTTCGATTCCTGAACCTGGAAGTATTTTGTCCTGCTGTTCTACCACCACCCCATCCCGTCATGTTACCCTCTCCTTGTTCAATCCCTTGCAGTTGTGCAAACTCAAGGCACAGACTCCTCTGTCCAGAGAGCTAAAACCACCTCGGTGGCACCTCTCCCCCTGCCCACACCCACTGCACACTGGCACTGGGGACCACGTGTGCCAGCATCCCTCCACACAGCTCAAGGAAACCCAAGGACCTTCCTCTCCTCCTGCCCTGAGATGAATTGCAGCCCTCAGGCACTGACACAACTTCAGAGGTACCGCAAGTGGCACGTTCTGCCCATGACCCAGCCAACTAAATTATTCAAATCTTTCCATATCCAGCTGTATTACATCTCACTTCTCCTTTCTCTGATGCACTCGGTGCAGCTCCAGCTTCACACAAAGCAGAGGAGCTGCAGAGATGAACCTGCACTGCCCCTGTACTGACTCCTGACCCGCAGATTATTCCGTCCTGAGCTGCCTGAGAGCTGCCCTGAAATCAAACCACAAGGAAAAAAGAAGATAATTTTCCTCTCCCTAGTTACAGCAAATTCTACAGCGGTGGGATGCCTCTGTTCTCTCCCTACAAAGGATTACACTTTTAAAAATATTCTTTCTTTGAAATCTTTTGTGACCCTTGAGCAGTATAAAAATGCAACTCGGGGACGCCGAGCGAGGCTGTGGATCCATGGGGGGACTCGGAAGCGAACACAAGTGTCGGCACTTAACAAATAATAAATAACCATCGTTAATTATTGATCACAACCCCAGCTAATCAAGTTTCAATCCCCGTGGTTGCCATGATATCAGCAGCCCCCTTTGATAGAGCCTGAGAGCAGACTCGCCGCCCGGCACGGAGCTCTCCGGGAGCCCCGGGAGCCCAGCGGATGCTGAGCGGGGATTTGGGAAGATGATACCCCCCCACACACACAGCCCGTCTGCTGCCAGGCTCCCAGAGGATGTCTGCTCATCCAGAGCATGCCGAGTTTTTCCAGAGAAGCAGAGCTGCCTGTGATAACATCCCGGGGCACGGCAGGGCTGTGACGGGGTGGGCAAGTCTGGAATGGGAGCGGAGCTAGGCACAGAGGCAGCACTACTACCACTGGCAGCTTGCAGGGGGTGTGGGCAGGGGGAGAGGTGCCACCGAGGTGGTTTTAGCTCTCTAGACAGAGGGGTCTGTGCCTTGAGTTTGTACAACAGCAAGGGATTGAACAAGGAGAGGGCAACATGATGGGATGGGGGGGTGGTGGAACAGCAGAACAAAATACTTCCAGGTTCAGGAATCGAACTGAGTGCAATAATTTGGACCCACATGTGAAAACCAGCTTCCTCTGGGAATCTCTGTTTTGTAGTTGTATAGTCTGGGAATGGGTCTGAGAGCACCCCCAGGAGAGCAACCCCAGGAGAGCATCCCCAGGAGAGCACCCCATGACCTCAGGGATGCACAGCCCAGACCCAGCGAGGCTCTGCCTCTTGGCTGGACCGTTCCATGGAGCCCCAGCCCCACCAGCCAACACGCTGCTTGTGGGTCAGGGCAACTCCCCACAGTGGGGCCAGACAGGGACTGGGCCCCTCAGTGCCCACCGTGCTCCCCTCTTGCTCTCAGCACATCCACAGCAGCAGGTCCCGCTCTGTCCAGGAAGCAGGAAGGGACAGCACCTCCACCACTGCCTGCCCCTATTTCACAAGCAATTTGTGCACATGCAATGCAAGAAACCCCTGTCTCGTGATCCTGACAGGAGCTGCCTTCCTTTACAGGGACATTAAATCCTGTTATTAAATGCAAGCCATTATTGGGATGTCACCGGCGCCTCTTGATGCAGCCCTACACCTGTGCAGACAGCTAGCACCTCTTACCTTGTTTACTATTCATTATGAATGCTCTGGATTGATTTTCCTCATCCTAATCCCTCTGTGGCTGGAGGATTTGTTTTCCCTGTGTGAGTTCAGGGCACTAGACCTCGCTCCCTCCTCCTCAGGGATGTGCAGCAATCTGAGGCACATGGTAATGGCAAAGCTCTGCCATTACCAACCTGCCCCAAAACTGCCCAATATGGGGAGGCAAGAAAAAAGGAAAACCTTGGGGGGGGGGGGGGTTCCCTCCTGAATTCTCACGTCCATGAGTTTTTCTCTGAGAAGGAGAAAAACCTTGAAAAATATCATAGCTGGAAGTCAGGAGAGCAAACAGGATCTTATCAGGATCCAAACAGGGGACTTAAGCTCTGTATTCCTGCAATAAGAGGTGCAGGAAGCATGTCCCTTTTCCTCTGAGCTTCCCAAGCAGGCCAATTACTTAGCAAACAAGAATAAAAGCCAAAAAGATTTGCTGAAGGAATAGTTAAATACATACTGCAAGTCCTAAAAACAATATTTCTGGAAGCTTTGATAACTCTGCAAACAGAAGATTTGTGCAAATATTTTACCCACGTTCATATTTCCCAGAAGGAACACCCATCCCCCAGACAATCTATGAGCCCTCATCCAAACCAAACATTCATCTTTCTTTCAAAGACATTATGACCCTTTCCAAAATCTCCTTGAAATGTGCATTTTAGTGACTCTTTCTTGCTGGAATCAGCAATGGCAGTGCCAAGAGCTAAAAACCCACCAAACCTTCCCAAACTGCATGGGATGAGTTAAAAATCAGGAGGCTTTCAGGTAATTTGCACAGGTCCTTCACTTCAGGACACCCTGGGATTGGCTGCAACCCATTCCCAAGGGAGGATTTAACTTGAAAGGCAGTGCTGGCTGCAGGTACCCAGGAGGGAGATGGGAATGTGCTGCTCCTCCTCCTCCCCTCTTACAGGGAAGGGCAAAGGCATCTTGCAAGCCACATAACTACTCTTTAAGTCTCCTCTACTCATTTTTAAGCAGTCACTGTTTCTTCTCACTCTGGGGAGTCCTCCCCACACAACACCAACCCTGGGCATGGCCACAGGTTTAAATTTGCTTTTTGCTGGGCATGCTGGGGAAGCTGCTTCAGGGGCACATCCCAGAGAGGGACCCAGGCACTGAAATCAGGACAGCAAGTTCAGCAGCCCCTGGGAGAAGAGCTGCCTCCTGCCTTATACAAGTTTCCCAATCACATTGTATTCCCTCCTGCTCAGGCAATATGCATTTGCTAATTTGTGCTGGAAAGGAGGGAATTCAATATTCCCCTCCTTTGCTGCATGGGGAATAGCCCAAATTTTCCAGAAATCTCCCCTGACTTGTCCTTTAAATAAAGCTTAAATAATGCCACACTGTCCTTTAGGCATCCTATGGCAGAACATTGAGAAATGCAAATATATAGAGAGAAATATATATACAATACCCTCTTTCAAGCTGCCCAACA